GGCTGGCTCGGAGTACCTGCTCACCCAATTGTTTATTAACCTCAACCTTAAGGCATAGTCACCAAGGTCACCCTGGCCCGGTATTTAACCTTCTTCCCCCTCACGTTCCCGGGGTGGGCCCCTTTCTGGGTGTGCCGGCCGTTCCGGCTCCCTTATGTCTCCTCACACTTGTGCCGGTTGCTGCCACCCTGCAACCCCTTTCCTGCCTTTCCTTGTTTCCGGTCCGTTCTCTGCCTCGTGCACTCTCGTGCCCACGGTGCGCTTCTTTTCGCTCCCTCTCGCTGTGGCACCAGTACCTTAGTGCTGACCGCCTCTTGCTTGCCTACTGTTCATCTCTTCCTCGTTTTGCCGCCACCACTTCGATCATTCTCTTCTTTCATATCCCCCTCCTCTCCCCTGTCTCTTCCCATTCCTTCCTCACGCCACTGCCAGCTTATCTTCTGTTGCACCTGATTGCTCCTCCCTGCTTCCCCTCCTTCAGGCTTCTTTCTCCTCTTTGTTGTCGCCTCATGCTGCCCCGTGGTTCCTCTTATCCTGGCCCCAAGTTTGTTCCTCCTGCCCTGGAAGCGCCCGACGTCTGCGGCTGGCATTATCTTTCCTTCACTTCCTTCGCCTTTACATGCCATCCGCCGCCGTCTCCACCTCCTGCCCCCCCCGGTCCTGCTCTACTGCTTTGCCATGCCCTCTGCCCCCTCGGCGGTCACTTGTCGGACTTCTGCGGCCCTGCTCCGGTCTTGATCCGCACCGCTGCTCCCCTCCACCGGGCCCGCGCTGCTGGCGACCCGCCCTTCCCTTTCCTGCGGCTCCCTGGCCACCCGCCGACTCAGTTTGCCCCGCACTCCCCGTGGCCTCCGGGGTCCCGGGGATGGTACTTCCACGCATCGGGCTTCATCTTCTGCGCTCCTTGCCATCGTCGACTTGGCTTCGTCGTGTTGCCGCTTTGTTTGCTTATTTTGCTGCTTGCTTCTTCTCCCTCCTGCGGCTCTTTTGCTTTTTTTGCTTCCTGTGCTCTTCCCCCGGCTTGTGAGTTTTGACCCTGGCCGCGCCCCCCCCCCCGATACTCCGTCTCCACTGACTTTCCTGCCTCGGCCCTTCTTCCTTCTCTTCTCCCCCCCGCCCGGGGCGGAGGCCCAGCGCGGCTCCATTCTTCCTGTTTGGGTCCGTGACTGTCGTGGACTCACTGACCGTCTTATGCTTGTTTGTTTTGCGTCCGTGGTTCCCCCCTCCCTCTTTGTTACCTCTCCGATCCCCCGCCCCCGCCCCTCTCCTCTTCTTTGCGCAGTGTCTCACTCATCCCCTCCTGCACCCCCTCTTCCGGTCTTCGACTACCTCCTTCGCCTCCTGCGTCCCTGCGTCGCTTCTGCGCTTCATCTCTGGCGTTTTCCTTCCCCTCCCCTTTCCCCTTACTTTCCCTGTTCGCTTTGGGGCTGTTCCCACCTTTTATTCTCTTTTGTCCCTTTCTGTCCTGCCGCGTTCGTCTGTCTGCCTCTCTTTTTCCCTTTTTGCTTTGCTCCTACTTTGCTGCAGCCGTTCGGCCTGGCTCCTCTTGCCGCCCCTTTCCCTCCGCTTGGATCCGACGGGCCTTGCCTTCCGTTCGCGCATGCCTACTGTTTTGCTGCACTGTTGGATCGGGCTACGCTCTGCTGGCGTCTTAATCTCTGCCGGCAGTGCCAGGCTCCATGCGCCTCCGCCCTGTTGGTGCTCTCCCCTGGCCGGGCTTCCCCCGGGGGGGGGGAGGGTGTTGTCCCGATTACACCTGCGGACCCTGTCCGATTTTCTCCCCCCTCAAGGCGACTTCCTGTTGCTGTGCTGCCGTGGGTGTAGCCCTCCGGTGCACTCCGCTGCTCACGTGCTTGCAGTTTCTCTGGCATTTACTTTGACGCGTCAGGGTTTCTCGTCCGGTGGTTCTTCCTCGCTCTTCTCCTTTTTCATGCCCCACGCTGCCGATCCTCCCCGTCTTCCACTCCTCGTCCTTTCCTTCCCCCTCTTTTCCCCGCTCTCTTTTTGGTTCTGGCCTCATCTCCGTGTTGCATCGCTTGCACGCGCGCCGTCCCTTCCCCCGTCCGTCCTTCCTGTTGGGTTGCCTTTTGGCGCACCATTCCCCTTTGTTCTGCTCCTCTCTTTCATCCTTCCGGCCTGTCCCACCCCTCACGTCGGACCGCGGCACTTCGATTTTTGTGCAGCGTACATCCTTGCCACGTTGGCCGGTTGCTGCCTCCTGTACGTTCCTCTCGCCCGACCGGCCCTGCTCCTTGCTCTTTTTGTTCCCCTTGCTTTGCCTCTTTCTTCTCCTCGTTTCCTGCTTCTTCTCTTTATACTTTTTCTTTCTCTCATTCCTTTGCTGTTTTTCGCGCACCGTTTCTTTCTCCCTGTCCTAGCTCCTTCGCCCTGGTACTTGCTTCCGACTGTATGCTTCACTGCTCACCTCTTTTCCCCGTTTGATGCTCTTCTCCGTCCCGTTGCCCTACTGTTTTATTCCTTTTTATTCTTCTTCCAGTTTCCATCGACGCATTCCCTGCTCTTAACTCGTCTTTTTAGCTCACACGCTTGCTCCCTGCGCCCCTCTCCGTTCGTTTCATTTCGTTCCTTCGTTGCTCACCGTTCCCTTTTTCATTCCCATGTGGCTGCTCTTTTCTGCTTTCTTCATCTCGTTTCCCCGTCTCCCTGCAGCATGTTGCGCTGTCCCACCTCTTTCCTTCTGCCTCTTCCTTTGGTTCTTTTGTTTCCACGTTCCTCGCGTCTCCCCGCGGCCTCGCTCAGTCGCGGCTTCCTTCCGTCGGTCCAGGCCCCCGTGCGCCCTGAGCCCTGCTTTGTGTTCCGCCTCTTGTCCCCCTTACTCGCCCTGCTGCATGCCCGCTGCTGTGGCGCGTGCTGCGCCAGTTTCTGCCTGCCTCGCTCCGGGTCATCTGGTATGCCTCCCACCCCCACCCGCCCTCCGTGCTGTCGCGTGTTCCCTCTACTCCTTGCGGCGGCGCGATGTCCCCCCCGCTCTCCGCCTCACCTCTCTCCCCTCATGACACCCAAAGACTCTCGACACTCTGCCACCCCCCTCCCTCTCACGTATCTTTCCCCTACCGCTTCTTCTTTCTTCTCTCCAATCTGATCTACTTTTACATCTTTTCTTTTCATTTTTCTGTCCCCCATTGTCTCTCTTCTCTCTCCCTTTCTCCCCTTCTTCTCTCTTCCCGGCCAAACAAACCACCGCGACACACCCACGGAGAGGAGGCAAAGAAGGAGTCAGAAAGGTGAATTCCTCTCCATCCTATTATTCTTGCCTGATCTGCCCCTCTTTCCTCAACATCCATCTGTCTCTCACTCATCCTTCCTCTCCTTTATTAATCTCTCTTTTTGCCCTCCACCCTAGCTCCATCCATCTTCCCGCCCTGTCGTCTCTTCACTTTTATTCTTCCCATCACAGATATCCTCTCTGTCTCCCTCTTCATTTTACAGGATGATATATCATTCCTCGCCGTCTTATCGTTCACCCATCCGTTCCTTCTCACCTCTTTTGCTCTCTCTTTTGCTGCATCGCTTCTTCTTACAGCATCCTTTGCCCTCCATCTTTATCACCTTTTACTTTATCAACGTCCTCTTGCCTCTTTCCCTTTAAATTCTTTCGTTCCTATTTTTTCTGTGTGTAAATGTTATTAGCAGGCAAAGTTTGAACAATGTGTGTTTGTAGGAGGAAAACAGGGCTTAAGAAAGTTGAGTTGGTTTTAAAAGGTCAGCACAGGCCATACTTTAAAGAAACAAATTCACACACATGCTGTGCAGTATGAACACACACTCCTGCTCTTTTTATAAGCAGTTATAACTATAGTGTATTCCATTTCATGTGATTATTGATGTGCCATAAACTTATTGCCAATAAAGCGCAGTGTAGACATGACTTTCAGTTTTACTGGTCAGTAAATACAAATGGAGGGGGAAAATAGAGGTGAAGGGTAAACCAGAGATAGAGAGAGAGAGAGAGAAACATTAACAAACCAATTGAAAGGAGGAGATGCTTTTAAAAATGTGCTCCTAAGAGTGCACGCATTCATCTAAGTGTATAGAAAATGAAGAGACAGAAGCAAGGCAGGATTTGAAGAGAAATACGACGCGTTGTTTTAATTATGTCATCTTGCTGCACCTTCATCTTCTGCAATGGTTTAATGGTACCTGATTGGAGCATTAGCCAAACTCCTACTATTTCCCTTACGGTGAATTGATACACATACATTCATTCACATTTTTTGTGTGCATATTTTATGAAAATATGTGCTAAATTTGGATGGACTTGGCTCCTAGCCACATCTGGCAACCCACACTGTAGCCAGAAACGAGAAACAAGCAGTACTGTACAGTACTTATGTCTTAAAAACTATCAAGAAATATCAAGAAATAGCTCCAACATATAGCTCCAACATGTAGCTCCAACATGTAGCTCCTCTTAAAATCACAGTGTCCTTTTTCATTTATTCAATTCAGGTATATTACAGTAGCGCTTGATGCACAGTAATATTTTTTGCGGCTCATTCACTTTCCTTACTCTAATTTCCCCTGATGGCAAATGATTAAATCCTCTCACGACCTCCAGGTTATAAACACACTTGTGCAGGTATTGTGAGTGATAGACGAAGGGGACACAGGAGGAGAGTGAAGGTGTCAGAGAAAGATGAATAGGTTCAGGGACAGGCAGTAAATGAGAACGCAGTAGAGAGAGAGAGAGAGAGAGAGAGAGAGAGAAAGAAAGAAAGACGAATGGACCAAGTAGGGGGGCGAGACAGAAAGACAGACAGAGACGGAGTCGTGGGGAAAGAGAGACAGATGAATTGCTGGGAGAAAAGACAAGAGCGAGAGAGGAAAGGGCAGGTGGAGGTGGTAAAGAGAGAGAATGAGAGCAAAAGATGGCTAGAGGGATAGAAGTAAAACAAATAGGACATGGGAGGAAGAGAAGAAAGAACAATGGATGAGGAGAATGGCTCACATTTGGTGAGGCCAACTGTTGGCACCCTGGGTGGAGAAGAGGGGGATGAGAGGAGGGAGAGAGGAAGAATGAGTAAAGGAGATTGAGGGGAGGGAAAAAGAAGAGTGGTAATTTTTCCTGTGTGTGTGTGTGTGAGTGAGAGCCTTTGGCAAGCAGCCTTGTTGGAGCTTGGCAGCGGTTGGCATGGCGATATATATATCCCGCTGCCTAAAGGCTCTCACCTTGAGCCACTAATGCCAGTCAATCAAACCAAGGTGTCATTACACACATACAACAGATTGTCTATATTTGTGAGGACAAGCACTGACTGCATTCATTCTCTAACTACTAACCTTTAACCCTTTATTACTCAGTGGTTACAAACTTTCAAACCCACTGAACTTTATTGTAAATGTGTAGATTAACACTGGACTACCAATTGCACCATGGCCCCGGAACTCCGGGGGGGGGGGGCTGAAATGCCCCAGGCTTACTGTGTCAAATAGTTTGTGCTAATTTAATTGAAAATGTGTTCAATTAGCACCAGTAAGTAAGTGATAATGTCCAACAACTTAGCTACATTCCCTTCTGTCCTCCAACCATTAGTTGATTCAGATTTCCAGATTCATTATTTCTCTGTTTTATTTCATTGGTCACACAAATAACCCTAGCTCCAGACTCTTTAGTAAGTAATTTCCCCACGGGGATTATTAAAGTATTTCTGATTCTGATTCTGATTCTGATTCTTTACTTCATTGTCGCTGTCTTTATCTAGAGCCCAATTCCGATGCATTCATTTACAATGGCAAAACAAAAATTAAACTATCCATAAAGCACAGTATTAACCAACATTACAGGTTATGTTTCATTATGATCCTATGGTCTTGGAGATGATCTCTATATCAAGAACTTCATTATTGCATTGCTTATTTGTTTGCATGTTCCTAAATTGATTTGTGTTTATTCATATTATTACACAGTAAACTTTGTAAATGTATAAATATCTCCATTATGTGAAAGTTGTAAACTAGCTGAAGGGTTTATTTAGTTCCTGCCTATTCTTATGTGATTCCTGGATAAAAATAGTCTGATGGTTTTCTAAGATTCTTAAAAAAGGGATTCAGCCATCTCTGTTCTCGGCAATCTTTGTTTATTCTTAGATAACAAAGAGTTTTTCATATAGCTGTCAACATTAATATGAGGCATGATACAAAATACATGTACTTTTAGTCTGGAAATGATCCGATTCCCAGTGGTTTGAGAAACTGTTAAACAAGATGACTGTCAACATTCAAATGGAGCAGCTATGCTAATTTAATTCTGAAACACAGAAATGTTTTACGATGTTTGGTGCCTTTTTCTAGACTGTAGAAACATAAATATATTTACTATTCAATGAATCTTTTATGCATTTATATAAATGGGTACAGCCAACACCCTCCCTTATTTATTTTGTACTGTTCTTGAAGTGCGAATGTGTTTTATGTCTTACTTTTACCTTATAACATCCTGCTTCTTGATTTGTGAAATGAGAAAAACAAAAACATAGATATGCACAGAGTGGGAGAAACGGGGGAGTTAACAGGGGCTTAGTAGTTCAGTTTGGCCCCAGGGCTCGCTAGCAGGTTATTATGGCCAAGGAGGACATCCCAAAGTCTCCAAAGATACCAAATTCTTCAGGCTAAATTTGGGGGGAAATGTGTAGGAACTGATGCGCAAGAGATCTGCAAAATATGTACAAAATGCAGCCATACAGCTAATGGAGTCTTGGGTTTGCATATTTCACTCAGGCTGACACAGAATATAAATAAAACTAAACCTAATGTGGAACCAAACATCATGGAGGCAAGTGAAACAGATTTGTCTGTGTGTTATGACATTCTTCAAACAGCTTGGTTCTCCATGGCAGCCCCCTAGTTTGACCAGAACATAAATATATGATGAGGACCGTTGAAACATACATGAGAACAAACGACATGAGAGAGAAAGAGAGAGAGAGAGAGGAGGGGGGATAAAAGAACAAGGGAGACAACAGGAGAGGAGAAAGGAAGGAAGAGTGCCTGTCGCTCATTTATCTCTCTTTGTCTGTTTGTCTTCAACGCTGCTTATTTTTCATCATTTTTCCACCCACGATAAAGATGGAGAATGGATAAGATGTAGTTAAGATTAAGTAATGTCTCTCTGTCTCGCTATTTATCTGTTTTTCTCTCCTCCTCTTTTTTACTCCTTCTCTCTTTCTAGTGTATTTTTCTTGCTGCATCTTTGTGTTAGGCTTTAATCTCTCCATCTGCTGGTCCTTGTTGACTGATCTATCCCTCATCCTTACATTCATTGGCTTGTTTCATTCTTTTGTATTTTCCTATTCTTCTTTTTCAATTTCTCTCCCAAGTCACTCTTTCACTTCTTACCCATCCATCTCTCTGTGCATCTCTCTGCTGTAAAGAACTGATGGTAATATATAATTAAAAGCTGCTAAAAGGGTTTGCAGCAGGGGAAGAGCAGAACTGGCAGCCGTTAACGTTTGAAAAACATATTCTTTAAAAACACAACAATGTTGGGAGAGCAGGGTGGCCATTATGTATCTTGGCCATCACCATGGCAATGGCCTAATGACAGCTCCAAGCTGTAATGTCAGGCTAAAGAGTCCAGGATTGATGTTATGTGCTCATTGTGTGCAGTTGTACATTTATATAGTGATAAAATGCCAACAAAATAGCAATATACCAAAATACCAAAATATATAAGTCCAAATTAGCTGTTTAAAATCATTTTCCATGTTTCCTGTTCATGAAAACTGCAGTAGCACTGCCGCTGCAAAGTAGTTTTTTAAAGTACAGGTGTTACAGTAGCTGTGAACAAAAGTCTCCATTTTTAGCTCACTTTTCACAAGGTAACAGCTACCTGTTTCTCCTGGAGGACAAAATGAATCGCTGCCTTGTAAATGAATGGTTATTATTCTAAAAAGCAAGTTGTCACTGTTTAGGTGAAGTTTCCTTGTCTCTTTATCACACCATTTTCCAGGGCTGAACTGGGGAGAATGCAAAATGGCTGACAACACAAGCTGTTACATAAACTATTACATAAAGTCAAAATGTTTGGTCAAACACCTGAC